TCTCTCTCTCTCTCTCTCTCTCTCTCACACACACACACACACACACAGGCATACACAGAGGCACACACAGAACTCCCAACAATATTTTAAATTGGCACATTCAGCAGACACAGAGTGACAGGCAAAGCACAGCAAACTGTAGGCTCCTCATCCATAGGGAGAAAAAAATCATGGTAGCGTTTTCATCAGTCACTCAACTCCACCCTTTCTTTCAACATTAAATCATTAGAGGTCACTTGGAAGTTAAACGTGGATGGAAAGTAAGAGAAACAAGGAAGGAGGAGCCCGAACTCTGCTGGGTCACATAATTTAACCTCAGGAATTCAAAAGAAAAATATTAACAAAATAGCTCTCCTCTGATTATTATCCATGTTGCCTGTGAAGTTCCTCCTTGATTTTTCACATCACCTGCTGCTTATGTCACCATTATAGAACAAATTCACTGAAGAGTGAAATTCAATTTTTGGAAACCAAATGACATTCACATACCTGTATAGAGATGATTAAAAACTCCTTATCCATGCACAAAATGAAATGAGCGTGCAGGACAAATGTACACAGAACACGATGGGGGGTGGGGGTGGGGACAGGCTGTCTTTCAGCAGAGCTGGGGAAGCTCACGAGGCTACCAGATAGGGCAGCTTAGAGGTAATGATGACTTGACCTTTTCATTGGTGACTGGGCCAAGTCTGGAAAGGAGACATGAAGGAGGGCAGAGAGTAATTTAGGGACACTGATGCGATTTCTCTTTCAAGCAGGAACTTATTTTGAGCATTGCCCATGTTCTATTTATAGCTAATATAGTTTGACATATCTGTGTTCGAGCCAGGGCCATTTCATTCTTCCTTCTGTGCCAAAGGGCTGTCTTCCTTTCGGGCTCACCTCAAGAATGAAGTTGATAATATTCCAGAGAATATAATGGATTAATTGATTCTAAAGTAAAATCACAGAACACAATCACTTAAAGCTTATTGCATTAGCAGAACTTGGGAATTCATTTTCTAAGTATCTGGTAAGACTATGTTGAACCACTGAATTTCATCATAATGCCTATATATTAATGGATCTTTCTTTCACTGCTGCTTAATAGGCCTTGTTCTGAATGTCTGTGCTACCCTTGAATTTTTCACTGTGGTGGATGCACCCATAAGAATCTTCCAGGGAGAAGAGTTCCGTTACAAAGCAAATGCCATTGGAACCTATCAGTGCAACCTCATCCAGGCTCTCCTTTAGGCAACCTCAACATGTCAGTGGTTTGGCAAGCGAAAAGTTTCTACATAGAGTCAAGAAACACTTTGTCATGATCTGGACACTCACCACAGTATAGTAATTCTTGGTAAGTGGAGCAGCTTCAAATCCTTTGACAGCCTTGGGGGACAGAGGTCTCTCTGTGAAAAAGACATTCAATTTATGTTAATAACATACAATTGTTTGATGAACATTGTGTAACACACATCAACTAACATATGAACAATGATTCCAAATAGAAGGCTCAAGCGAAATATATTCCTAAACAAATGAAAACACAACTTCACTAAATTACACACAGCCAAAGTTAGCTCTTCTTATCCAGGTCCCTTCATTTTGAGGGAGGAATAAGACAGCTAATAACCAGCAGGGCCACAGCAAGGACTTCAGTCCCAGTTTGGGTTTCTTTATTCTGCCTCTCCTGTCAACTTATTCAAAACACATAAGTCAAACCACTGTTAACCAAATGTATATGTGTAATGTGCAAATTACTATACAAATATAATATAACTAATAGCAACTTTAATGCTCATAAAAATTCTGATATGTGCTTAAATGTTCCAAAAAAATTATTACAATAAAACAAACATTGTCATTAACTACCTGCAAAATACTGTCCCTTACTTTGTTTTTTACATTTATTTATTTATTTATTTATTTATTTATTTATTTGATACAGGGTCTTGTTACACAGTTCGGACTCATAATGATCCTCCTGTCTCAGCTTCCTGAGCGCTGGGATTATAGGCATGTGCCACCATGCCTGGTTTCAGGGCCAGCACAGTACACCTGGGGTTCCAGGGAAGGCATGATATGAGATACCGGGGATCAAACCCAGCTCCTTGCACTTGCCAGGCAGGATCTTAGACTGCTGAGCTATCTCCCCAGCCCTGTTGCTTACTCTGAACACACTTCTTCCATCATTGTTGCCAATTTCTGAAGCAGTCTTAGAAGTCCTATTTTTACATGGTGTAATCAAAAATCTGATCAACACAGTTGCTGAGCACCATCTGACAAAAGGGCAGGCTCATAAAAACATGACACTGTGTCCTCATCCACCTTGTTCACCAGATCGGGCACCAGGTGACTTCTGGCTCTTCCCCAAAGTCAGAGTAACCACGAAAGCTAAATGTTTTAAATTGATTGAGGACATTGAGACAGCCACAGCTAAAGACATTTTTAAATGTAAGTATCCACCATAGTCTTCCATCTGACCTCATCACCCACCTTTCTTGGGACTATCTTCAGCTGTGGTAACAATAATATATTCAACATGTCTAGCTCAGTGAGAATGATCAGAAACTTTTTTCTCTTTCATCTAATTTTAATATCATTCTAGTGCAAAATGCTACCTTTCTTTTACAAAGTTAGTTTCTCCTATGAAACTCATGACAGAGGACATTCTTTTAAAAGACACAAGCTAGTTATGAATGCTTAAGAGTGCCACTGCATAGCATCCTTCCTACCGAGATTTTCTCTTATACTTCTTTTGTTTTACATTTCAATATTATCTTGCTGTGTTAAACCTCTGAAGTACTGTGGAGCATAAATAGCCAAATAATAATACATCATCAGACCTTAATTGTTCTTTTCAAATGATATTTTTATGATATATTTATCCTAAATTTTTAGTTGTATCCCAAAAAATCAAAATATATAGAAGAAAATAAAAATCGGTGATTACCCTGTCACCCTGAAGCACCCATCACCCAGAGCAGCATGTGCGAGTGGGCCTTCCCATTCTTCTTATGTATGCATTTGTGACTGCACACACATGTATGTACAGGCATGCACATATGTGAACCCTTTTTAGTTTACCTACAATCTTATAATTCTCCTATTACAACATTATCTTGTCAATATTTCCTCATTTAACCTTGATTTAACTATCATTGTATTAAAATATCTCGGGTATTTATTTGGCCCTAACAAGCTTTATGATATGTAGTTTGATTTATATCTACCCTGAAAAGCAGCCCTCATCTTCTTACTTTACAGAGAAAGCCACGAAATCTCAGGGAGGTAAAGCCACTTGCCTAAGGTCATACAGCTAGGAAACAGCAGAACCAGTACTAAAGCCCAGATAGGTCTCGAGCAGAACCTACGCTCCTGATCGATATGATTCCCAGAGACAAACCACTGAAAGGCTTGGTGGATGGCAGGGCAGTTTGCACCTGGGGTTCACAGAAGCCATTAGTTTGACCTGGGCTGGCCAAAGAAGACCATGTGGCACTGGCAAGTGGCTAGAATACAAACAGGTGAGAAGCAAGCAAAGTGATTCGAGGTGGGGAGGACTGCAGAAGCACTGCTCAGAAATAGCAGTGCTCATGGCAGCTGGGAACCATGACAGCAAATCTTCCAGCTGGGCCAGGCTACACAGAGTGGTACTAAAGTCAAAAAGCAGCAAGGAATGCCAACTCTGTCATCCCCAAGGGTAACAAGAAAATATGGCCAGTTTCTGAAAAACTGAGGCCGCTTCGGATCCACCTCAATCTGCTAGTGGTTTCACTAGATGTCCCTAGGGTAAACCTGAACAATGTAGTCACCTGCCCATTTCTTGGTACTGTAAGTGACACAGCCAGGACCTTAATCCATGTTTCTCATTGCCGGGCCTAATGTTCTTTCCTGTACACCACAGTGTTACACTCTGTCTTATTCAAAATTGGCAATTATCAAATTCTTTGTTTTTTATTAGACAGCTTTCCTACAATGCAGCTATAATATAATGGTTTTAATTAGAAGTTAGATGGTATATATGCGTATTATTTAAACCAGTCCTAACAAAAATTAAAAAAAATTCGAGAGAGAACAGCAGGAGGTGGTCACTTTTCACAATCAAGGTCAAAAGGGAAGGTAAACAGTAATGGAATGACTTCCAAGACACTGAAGATGAAAGGAAAGGCCACAGGAATGGCTAATCACAATTGAAATAAAATGTTCACTATGTAAAGTAGAATGGAGGAGAAACAAACCAAAAACAAAGACGCGGCTGCCTTGGAGCTGCTGGGATGTTGTGCAAACTTGTGGCAAGGCTTGAGAGAGAAAGACAGAAGACACACATTACCGATTTTAGGGATGAAACTGGCTATTATACCAGGCCCTGCAGATAGCAAAAGAAAAACAAGAGACTACTATTAACACCTCTACACACATAAGTTTTTCTATTTGATGTGAAACAAACCAGTTCCACAGAAAACAAAGCTCACCTAAAATGAAATAGATCATTTGAATAGAATTGTAACTATTAAGTGGATTGAATTCATACATTCAAAACTCTGGAAAAGGAAATTTCTAGGTCCATATAGTTTCAGTGGGGGAGCCTATCAAATATTTAAGGAAGAATCCAAATCAATTATATAAGTCTCTTATGGAAAATAAAAGAGATCACTTCCCAACTCATTTTATGAGGTCACTAGTACACTGACATCAATACTGAAGAAAGACAGCCAAAAAAGCAAACTGTAGCCCAATACCCCTCATGAATATAGTTGCAGAGAAACATTAACAAAGTATTGACAAAGCAGTCAGGTGTGGTAGCATATGCTTGCAGCCCCAGCACTCAAGAAGGATCACCAAGAATTTTAGGCTGGTCTGGGCTACAAAGTGAGCTCAAGGTCAGCCTAAACTGCCTAGTGACACCCTATGTCAAAAAGAAAAAAATACGGTAAATAGAATTTAGCAATATTTTTAGAGCTGGCCAGATAGCTCAGTGGACTAAAGCACCTGCTTACGCAGAGCATAGGGACCAGGGGGCGCGCTGAGACAGTGATTGAGACTGGGTGTGGTGTCACGTGCCTGTAATCCCAGCTATTGGGAGGCTGAAAATAGGTGGATCACTACAAGTCCAATTTATTAAGTGAGTCTCTGTGGACCCTGTACTAAATACATAAAAAGTTGAGCAATATGTTCAAATAAGTGTATGGCATGAGGCACATCCTAAGAACACAATGCTGATTAAATATGCAAGAAATCAATCAATGTAATCTAGGATATTAATAGTGTAAAGAAAAAAATCACACATTAGTATCAATCAGTGCAGAAAAGACATTTGACAAAATTCAATAGCTATTCAATAAAACTCAAAAGAAAAATAATAAATAAAAAGTGAATGTGTGTGCATGTGTGTTCATGTGTATGTGTGAATGTGTGTGTCTGTCTGTCTGTGTGTCTCTATGTATGCTGGGGATTGAATCCAGCTCCTTGTACACATGAGACCAGAGGAGGTTCTTCAACTCAGTAGAGCCCATCTGTAAAGCCCTTCAGCTAATATGTTACATGACTGTGAGAGACTGCCTGCAGCACACTTCTACACTAATCTCACCCTCCCTGTAGGCGCAGTCTAGAATGGGGGGATCAGCATGAGGAACAGAAGGCAAACTGAGTTGGAAGGAGACAAGCTGCAGACTCAATGGAATGTGGCCCTTACAAACAACTGGCTTCATGAAAAGAATCAAGATGGGGATGCAAAATAGAAAAACTAAAAAAAAAAAAAATGGCCAGCCAAATAGCTCAGCAGATTAAAGCACCTATAAGCAGGCTCATGGGCCAGGGGTTCCATCCCCAGGCCTGCCATGCCAGCCCTGTCCCCCCCTCTGAGGTGCACTGAGACGGCAATTGAGACTGGGCATGGTGGCACACATCTATAATCCCAGCTATTAGGAGGCGGATCACTATGAGTCCAATCTAGTAGTGAGACCTTGAACACCCTGTAGACCCTTCCGTAAAATACAAAAAAAGAAAAGAAGGAAGGAAGGAAGGAAAGAAGGGAGGGAGGGAGGGAGGGAGGAAGGAAGGAAGGAAGGAAGGAAGGAAGGAAGGAAGGAAGGAAGGAAGGAAGGAAGGAAGGAAAAAGAAAAAGAAAGAAAGAAAGAAAAAGAAACAAGAAAGAAAGAAAGAAAGAAAGAAAGAAAGAAAGAAAGAAAGAAA